TTCTTCACGAGGACAGGGATGACGTCGACGTGGAGGTGGTGTTTCTGCACAGGTAACTCATCCGTGGTTTCATGCCTATTTCTATTTTTTTTTCTAGTTTTACTTTCGTGACTGATTCCCAATGCCTCCCTTCTCCTTCCAAATGCTACTACGAGTTCTCAGTAAAAGTACATGTCGTGGCGCATCCCAGGAACTAACTGATTAACAGCAAATGTTCTACCCATTGTATTTATTAGTTCTACTATATCTTTCCTCATTTTCACACATATATCCGCCGTTTATTCATAGATCAGCCCTGTTCTGTTCCTTTGAGGTTAACACGAATGATCTTTTGCCTTTCCCTTTGTGGCTGCAGTCGTATGGCGTGCAGCACGGTTCTTATATATTCACTTGTGGGAAGTTGTGAGCACTTGAACGCCGCGGCCAAAGATAATTAATTCCTTGCCCCCCCCCCTTTCTATTGTGACATCACTTCACTTCCGCTAATGACTTCTCGTTCTTTCACCTTTCTTCCGCCAAACTTTTGCGTGGACTTGAGGACAAGAGTGGCCTCCACTTAGGGACTCAACTTTGGCCAACATCGAAGGTTGTGTAAGAAGAAACGAAGCGTTTTAAAGCTAAAAAAGAACAAAAACTTAGAATGCGCTCGCAAAGCATTAGAAGGATTTTTCTGGTAGTCCTTGAACTGAGAGAGATAAAAGCGGCCCTGGCGCAATAGATAGAGCACCCACCTGGTCAGCGGCGCACCCACCTAGTCAGCGACAGGTGCGGGTTCAAGTCCCCCCTGGGATCTGACTTTTGCCCATAACTCAGCGCTTGTCTGATAATTTTTGGTAGAGTTTTCCATGATGAGCTCGTTTACATCTTTCTGAATATTCACAGCGCTTCTCTTGCTTCTATAGTATGGGTTGACCTTAGACTATCCGGTTTCGTTTCTACTAAAGTGCGCCACGCAGTCTGCTTCCTTCCGATATCGCAATAGGATTGGAATGGTTATGCAATAGTCGCCATGGTCTACACGATAGTTTTGAGAGTGAGTGCTGAGACGCATATGCACGCTCTCTCCAATACGTCTTTTCTACCTTCCCTGACTCCGTTAGCTTCGCCTTCTTAGCCTCTACACAGTACCGATCCTCTGGAGGCGTTGATTTATCTTGTGGCTGGGTGGTTTCGTCACACCTGATCCTGCACTACGACTCGTGATTAAGAAGCGTGCACTTTTCCTCTTGCCGCTCATATCCCATATCCTATACATTAATACAATGCCTACCTTTGGCTAGATTTTTCGCAGAGTTGCCGATGCCATAGAGTACACCCCTCATTTTTCAGGTCGTGCCCACGATTTGAGCTTAGAAGGCGTTATTCAAACTGACACTTTCACGAAAGTGGAATTCCTTCACCGCACCGTTATGGATTCATTAGATTTGTCCCCGGGTTAAGGTGAGCGACTGAACTGCTGGTAATGAATAATAATTAGTAATTTTGAAAAATAAACTCCAGTATTTCTCAGTTGTAAATAATTCCAAAAACAAGATGGAAATCTTCTAGGTATCAGATGCCGACGCTTGTTTGGTGTTAGCGAACAAGTATAGTACGAATCCAGATGCTGAAGATGCAGCTAATATCATGCGGGTGATCTCCATCAAAAACTACTCAAGTGATATACGAGTAATTGTTCAGTTGATGCAGTATCACAACAAGGTGAGTAGTTGGCTCGGAGGTTATCGAGGTTCCAGTTGAATTGCAAATTTTTCCAAATAAAGACAGGGGGCACGATTGCTGGAGGCGGGCGGTTGATGTCAGCGTCATTGGTGGAAGGGCTGCGAGATGGTATTCGGCCGCAACCCACTCAGCTGTTCCACCAATGACGTTCGCAGGAACCACCCACCCCAGCCATCCTGCTCACTTCCTCTGAGAGAGATGGGATCTTCATGACCTGCAGGCTGCAGGCTCAGCTGCCACTCAGACGTACACTCTAGGTGCCGGTGATGGGTAGGGCGTGGCTGCTTTCATCTGACCATGGAGCAAGATGCGTTTTTCGTAAAATATCTTCATTCGAGACAACTGTCATCCTGTCTTGTGCTTTACAAACAGGTGATTAAACTGTGCCGAAACTACAATATCTCACAAAGAGCGCAGCAGCCGCCACGTTCTGATGAACTCGACCACCCGCACGAGCCACGCCTACCTCATCTCCGTGATATGGGTGTATCCTAACTTTCCTACGAGAGAGTTGTAGCAATACGTTTTTCAGGCATATCCTGCTCAACATCCCGTCGTGGGATTGGCGACGTGGAGACGATGTGATCTGCCTCGCCGAGCTGAAACTCGGTTTCATCGCGCAATCTTGTCTTGCTCCCGGTTTCTCGACAATGATGGCGAACTTGTTTGCGATGAGGTCCTTTAAAACGGTACGTTTCACAATCGGTTCTCCTTGCAGGATCTCAGCTTCCGTTTTCCTCATTTTGAGTCCTGAGTACCTCACTCTATGTTTCACCTTTGCGTAATTTTTCCTTAACCTTGTCATGCTTCATTTTTTTCTTTCATCGATTAGGCAGGACTTCAATTACGCCCAACGTATAAACAACTCTTTGACGTCGTTTTTCTATCGTGCTTTTGGCTTTCGGCTGTGTTTTCGGGCTTCGCGGCCTCTCCATTATGCCCAATTAGTGGAACGTCCCGCAATACGTGCTGTTTTGGGTTTGTAGAGGAGTTGTGGGCGCGAGAGGGTGCCAGGAGACTGATGCTTTTTTCAAACGCTTTTTTGGAGGGGGGGGGGCATGGGAATAAATGAGCGCGATTTCAATGTAAAACTGCAGTGAAAGGTTCTATCAGCTCCGAATAAAGCCTAAACTATTACTGTAGCTCCTCTGTTATCCTAAGTAACCCTTGAGTCGGATATGGCATTATAATTGTGTGCTTCGTTCTTTGATTAGGTTCTATTTTCATCTAACACCTTTCTCATTCGAATCCCTAGTGTCAGTTCATTTAACAGGGTGCGAGCTGGCGTTGTCGAATACCTGCGTAGCTTCTACTTTAAGTTGCCCCGCGAGGCCACTTTTCTGAGGGAGGTCCGTGGAATTGCCTACGTGTTTTCATCGCGCGCCCGGCGTGCAATGAGACCTTCTGTGTTTCATTTAATAAGAAACCCAGCAATGTAGGTACAAATCGAAGTTATGAGTGTGTTCTAACCGCACCAGTGTGCTGTTGAATTAATCCATTCCAGTCACCGCATACACCATCGTGGCTGAACGACTATCTACGTGGTGCTGGCATGGAAATGTACACGGAAAAACTATCACAGGCTTTCGTCGGCATGTCGTTTCCAGAAGCGGCTGAGTACGTTCTAACATCCTTTTCAGTCCCAAACGACACAAAAGGACTTCGTCGTTTGTCCTGCAATACTATATTTTTATTGGCTTATTTGCAGTGCACTAACTAAAGTCCTAATCCCTGGGACATGGTGGGCGTGGCTGCGTACTTTATATGAACATGGCATAGACGCGGCTGCCACCTTGTTCACATGAAGGACGTAACTACACCTACCGCACCTCAGATATTTCAATGGTACACAGAATCAGGGCTGAAAAATTTACTTCATTCTTTAAATTTATTTTTTTGATTGAAAAAGTGCTGTTGTAAAAAGCAACTGTTGATGAGAGAGTGTTGTAATAAATGGACTCTCATGCACGGTCAGACGTGTGGCGAGTTCCTCGATGATAGGGGAGGGGGGTTGCATGTTACCTGACCGGGTAGGGGAATTTGAAGCCATCATCTGAGCAGGAATAGGAGTCTGCCATTTTTTGTAAAGCACACCTTTCCCTCCTGCTCATTAACGGATATTCGCGGAATGCTAGGTAAATGAGTTTGAACAAGGATTGAGAATGATCTATAGAGGAGTGTAGGGCGCTATTGGGCGACGGGGTGGGGGCATTTGCACTTGTGCTGCTTCACTAGTTCGAGTTACAAGTCTCACTCTGGTGAAACCTGTGAACTCTTGTGAAGCTGGAGCAAGCTCGTCGAGCCACCATGGTAAAACCTGTCAACTCTTGTAAGCTCATGAAATAGCTCTCTAGATGGCTCGACACGTCGACAGGAAGTAGCAAAAGTGCAAAATGCCCCCCCCTCGCCGAACTGCACCTGAATGTGGCGTCCCATTCTTCCACGTCATCCTCCATCACAGTGGAGGATCATGAGTGGAAGCGTGGGTAGATGAGACTTGATTTGAAAAGAGCCCTTTTA